GTGTCTTCAAACATCCCTGGCCACCAGAAGAATCTTTTAAGGAATGCTAGTGTTTTGGACACCCAAAAATGATTGCCTACTCCCAGCTGATCATGGTAAGCCTTAACTGTTTGTTTAACCAATTTGGATGGCAGTATCAGTTGTAATTCCTCTTTTTCTTTTAATCCACTAGGATGTTCAAACCTTCGGAATAAGAGGCCATTCTCTATGACCAGAGAGTTAAACTGATAACACAGAGCCCTAGTTTTACTACTGTTGCCAGCAATTTCCTGGAACTCAGGTCTCTCTCCGTCCTGTACTACAACCATGATAGGCATTATATCTTGGTCTAATAATTGGGCCTTATTTCCTTATCACTGAGTCCATTAGGAATTACTTTTGTCCAGTGAACTTTTACTGTGTCTGAGGCAAGTCGTATTTGTTTTCTTTCACCTAACAGACATGTTGGGCAGTTATCGTCACATTTCATTTATGTTTTGCATTGACAGACTAACACTGTTTTGTCTCTCTCTTCTAGCCTGTCACACTTTTTGCAATCATCACATGGCCTCCTGGATAGAGCATCTGCATGCCCTATGCTTGTCCCTTTGACATGAACCACCTGGAATTTGTATGGAGCTAGCCTTTAAAGCCAACGTGCAAGCTTACCTGTAGGATTTTTGAAATTCTTTAGCCACTGCAAGGCTGCATGGTCTGTTTTAACCACAAATGGTGCACCTGCCAGGTAATGATGGAATGCTTTTATTGACTCTACTAGTGCCAGTAACTCCCTGTGTGTTGCGCAGTAATTTCTCTGGGCAGGGTTAAGAGTTTTAGACCAGTAAGCTATGGTGACTTCTTTTCCATGCTGGTGTTGGCTTAGGACACAACCTAGACCAAACAAACTAGCATCTGTGGTGACAGTAAATTCACCTTGAGTCACATCTGGTGTACCTAATATAGGTGCTGTTGTCAGAAGTGTCTTGATTTTATCAAATGCCTCCTGACACTCCTTGGTCCACTCAAATTCTTGCCCTTCCTTTGGCAACTTGAATATGGGATTAGCTATGGATGCCATGTGTGAGACATACTTGGAGTAGTACTGTACTAATCCTAGCCATGATCTTACCTCTTTAACATTAGTTGGTGCTGGCCAACTCATTATTTTCTCTATTTTATTTTGATCTGTTTTTATTCCTTTTTCAGATAGTAAGGTTTTGTGTGTGTTAAGGTACCTGATGCCATGAAGTGACATTGGTTAGGTTTGAAGTGCGTTTAGGTAGACAACCGGCACGGCATAAAACAATTATTTTGCAATTTTACAGCTATTTCTGTTAACTGTTCGCACCATTTAAGACATTTTTAAACTTTAAAAAAAATATCCGACTTAGTTCACATTTATAAGTACGTGATCTTTAGAACACATAAGTACTCTAAAAGCGGGAGTGTGATTCACACAGAAACATTTGATTTCTTACCAATTTGGCACTGACAACAATGTGCGTGGCAGTTTTGGCATTCGCAAAACCATACGTACTTTGTGCTAGACGCCCCTCTTTGCAATCAGAACGCGAGTCCGGTGACGCAACTACCACGAAAGCCTTGGATGTGTTGTAATTTAAAAACGGGGTTTTGTAACGTGCGTGTTGCCTACCTTCCCCGAATTAAGGAGTTAAAAAGTGTCACATGGCCGACCAAAAGTCATAAGCTACCGTACATAACAAATCCGGTCAGCCTTATGATGGAAAAGTAAGTCCTCGTCAGTTTCCACTTATAAAATCTCGTGAAGGGGTCAAAATGACCCCCTCGGTCCTTCTAGGTATAAGTAGTAATATCTTCAAAAGTTCTTGTCGCAGAGACCTCCTATTTTGCGTCCAAGCGTCTTTCGTTAGTACATGAAAAGTCGGAAAGTGATGAATCGCTCAGAAAAATAATTCGTAGTTCCTTTGGCAATCACAGATCAAAAGGGGTCATTTTGACCCCTCCGGTCCTTCTAGTGTTAAAACTTAACTTACTTTTTTGGGAGGGGTAGGGAGTAACCCTTGGCCCCTGCTGGAACCGGGCGGCTTGGAGAACTTAAACAAAAGAAACAAACAGTCAGGTATAGAAAAACGTTTACTGAACACATTCTATCTGCGTGAGAGAGAACTTACCCCATCGCAAGTCTCCTCTTCCATAAAGGGCATGAAGAGAGGGTGGGGCTCCGGGGCCGGGGCCTCTTCACTCCACAGCTGCTGGAAGTAAGCGTCCTCATACGCGAACGCCGCGGACGACGCTTCCTCGCTGGTGGCTTTGCTGCAGGCGCCGGGGGCCTCGCTAGCGGCGGGTGCCTCGGTGGCGGCGGGGGGCGAGGCGGGGGGGCGCGCCCTCCGGGTCGCAAGATTGCTGCAACGTAGAAAACATTGTTACTTTGTGTCGCGAGTGCGAGAGAGATAGCACGCTGAGCAGCGACAGCCTCCCCACCACCATCCCATTTCCAGGAATTCCCGCGCACGCAACGAAGGGACGCCATTGGCGTCGTGACAAAGAAATCGTGACGTTTAACAAGTAAACGGTCAAAGGCACAATAAAATTGGCGAAAGCCTAACCTCAGAATCAATAAATGAGGAACAAGATGAGAGACACGAACGAGATACCGGCCGGCTTACACCAGTCCGCGGCCGCGAGCGGCACACGACGCGGCAACAGCGAGCGCGCCGAGCTGAGCTCGTCACACAGGACACTCGATTGAACACTGAATTTACAGCTACGTGACGCAGGCAGGGGCAGGACACGCCGTGACGAAACACTGACGCCGGCGGGCGGCGGCGAGCACGACGTCGGGGGGGAGACAAGGACTCCTAACCTCAACTGGCGTGAGCCGGCAGGACCCAAGCTTAATCACTCGCGGTTTTAATGAATGAAAGAACACTCTCGATCAACACAGGGTAGCGTAAAATTACGGTGGGAGATGCAACGGGGGACGCTATAGCGTAAAATCACAGGATGGTGCAACAAAGATTTGGCGCGCAGATCATTTAGTTACACTTACCTCATCATACATCAAGCCCGAGGGGTAGAGCTGCAGGTCCAAGACGATGACTCCTGCGACTCCTGGCTCAAGATCAACGGGGGCATGGTGTCCTCGTCCGATAAATGCAGGTCCTTTTCGAGGTGCCGGTGACACATGGCGACGTTTTCTCCGCTCTGTCCAATACTTGACGCTCGACTGAGCGGGAGCGGAGCTCCGTAAAGTTTCATAGCTATAGCATATAGCAATAGCTATAGCTATAATAAAAGGGACCAGCGCGAGGCTACTTCACGGAGGGTATGACAAAAATACCGGGCAGACCATCATATGTAGTTACATACATAGCTATGTATAGCTATAGCTATGTAGCTAGCATATATTATTGAAAATTTGTGGGGTTTTAGTTTCGTTGTAGTGTGAAAGATAGTAGGACCCGAGGGGGCACCAACTTCGACTATTCACGGTTCACAAGGCGATTAATACCTAATATTCAGTCGATATTTGCGATTATTCAAAGATATTCAGTGTATTCAAACGTATTCGCGATATTCAACAATATTCGGCAATATTCATCAGTATTCACCAGTATTCATCAATATTTACCAGTATTCATCAATATTTGACAGTATTCATCAATATTCACCAGTATTCATCAATATTCATCAGTATTGAAGCGTATTCCAGGAATATTTCCTGCTATAGTTACATTACACTGACGCGTAATCTGATTTCATATCTTTTATCTTTTATCTCTACTTGTTGCTTGGATGCCGTTGTTGCGGGCATTCCCTTCTACTTGATAATGACCAGCGGAGTACCAGTCTCACAACGTTTTTGCGGTGATGCTTGTTCCATTTTAACGCTGTCATTGAATTATTATTAATATATTACAACAATCTGTTTGTTTCTTAATCTTTGCCATGTGTACCACAGCTACTGGTTGAGTGATTTCTAATAATATATCTGGAGCACCTTGTTTCTGTGGCGTTGGTAACACTGCGGACCCCATTTGGGCTACGCTCGAAAAAGTCTGAGGCTTCTTTTCCTCTCCTGCCGCTTGCATGTCCGAGTGCGAGTGAGCGAGTGCGCGCGAGCACGATGTGACAGTAAAACGGTCGGTACACCCACACGGGCTTGAGGTGAGTTGTTGGATTGTTTGGCGCGCGTGGTGCTACTTGACTCGTCTGTGTCCCTTGGTAATTGAAAAGTGACAAAAATTGCGGGGAAGATGAGTGATAACAGCGACGGCAAACAGAACGGCGACCAGGAAGCAACGGACGCAAAAAACTTTGTAAGTTGAGTACACATTTCATACTTTCCCTTCAAACATCGAGGTTAGCTCGGTTCTCTTTGATTCTCACAATCTTCTTTCATGACGACACTTCTAGTATCATTATTTGTAGAATTATTTATTTAAAATGCTGGTCCATTTTTGTTGTATGTATATACATTTGTTCGGTTGCGAACCTTCTAATGTCGTTACTAAGATAGACTATTGAGGTTAGTCGTCCACCTGGAGATTTGCCCGCAGTGTTCAGTTTCATGGTGTGGTTCCCATTTCAATTTTCATCGTCAACTTTGAGTTCTCTGAGTCTTTTTTCACTATTTCTCAGTTGTTATTCAACTACTAGTCATGCAAGTTAAATATGTGAGCGAGTAGTGTGTTTGGGTATAGGCCAGGCAGAAAGCAGGGTTCATGACAAACTAATATGTTTTCCCATCTTTATTTCAGGAACCGTCAAACGATAAATTTTGGGATGCTCTTTCTAAAAAAGTCGGAGTAACCATGCCTTCCCTCCTCAAGCTTGTGTTGGAAAAACTGGGCTGTGACAGTGAGTCAGCTTTGCGGGACATACAGAAAAATAGAATAAAGGAGATGGAGGTGTTTGTACAAGAAAAGTTAGGAAAGGTAAGGACCTGATCATTTACACTTAAACAAGACTAATTAAAGTGAGAAGAGAAAGTAATTCCTTGGTGTTACTTACAGAGAATGAGCCCTGAAGTACGAAAGAAATACCTTGGAATGTTTCACGAAGATTACTCAGACTTTGAGTTCCTCCCAGGACATGCTAGCATTCTCTTGGACATTGGCCAAAAATTAAAAGATGTTGAAGGGAAAATCTTTGTACGATCACCTAGACAAAATGTATCTCCAAAACCCAGAACAGTGCGTGCAGGTGAGGATTCCTATTTCAAAATCAGTTCGACATTGGCAGGGCCAGTGAGGCCCTAATTCACAAAAATAATGTGGATGGGGGAAAGGGAGGGGGAGGGGCAAAAAGAAATTCTACTATATTTTGTGATTTTGTGTACAACACTTTATTTAATTATTTTTTCCAGATTCATCTGGTGTTGATGCTGATGATGGTCTTATTGAAGATACCAGGATTTTAACTACAATAATCTCTTCAGA